GAAACATAGATCATTTGCGTCAATATTGTACAAACGGCCAAATTTTCAATGAGAAAGTTTTTTATCGTAATTTATTCTTAAACAAATACTCTAATAATCAAACAATAGGTCGTTCAGTCAAATTAACTTTACATTAGTTCTTGAAAATTGAAAATCTTGCTAAATTCAAGTAACTAAGTAAATGTAATCTCGCATCGCTAGTAAATATAACAAGAAGACAAAATGAATGAAAAGTGCTGATAGTGATGAAACTTTATCACCATCACCTCAGTGAGTGATTACTACCCAGTCAACTGCTGTGAAAATCTGGTAGCGAAAAAGTAGAAAATATAAAAGAAACTCATTAAAATAAAAAAATTGCTAGTAACGCTCGCGGAATAATGGTAAGTAATACGTTACACATGTATGTTTCCATAACAATACGTATAAATAAAAATTAAAATAAAATTCAGTAGCACCATTTTGCGGTTATACAATATGAACTAAATGAAAACAAACAGCTGACACCAGAAAGCTATAATGCATATGAAATAACATCTCTTCTACTACTTGGTGGGATACGCAACTGCATGGAATATTAAATTTCCATTATTATAAACCAATGTGTACAAAAGGTACAAGCTGAACCGATAGAGCACCAAATTTGTAGACAACAAAGCCGCAATGTGCACAACTACAAAGCCGTTACAACACTGTTGACATGCCACGATTTCACTGGGCTGCTGATTTGAGCAGCTAGACGGTCGAATATAGGGACGCAAAACGAAATCCAGATTTAACCACAATAAGTTATAACATTATTTAATCGCTCCAATGCCGATGGAAGGGCTTTGTATTTCAAGCATTGCTAACCGCAAATGTACATATGTATGTATTGTATACAAATATATATAAATTGTAAGCGCTAACGTACATACATATTTATGTATAAATTGTGAGTACGTTTGTAGCTGCGTATAACAATATTACCTGTTGGTTAGCAATCTGAACAAATATGTATCTGATGTGCTCATAATATTAAGCAAAGAAAGAAAATACGCTATCGAAACTACATAGTTGTGAAAACAAAAACACATTTTTAAAATTTCACAATAAGAGATAATACTTCCGCTGCAACTCACTCGGCTTAGATCATTTGTTCGTTCTCATCGTGTGTTTATTGTTTTATTAAATTGTATAGTTGTATTTTCTTTCAATATATCATTAGCGGTATTGGTTCGCCAAGCGTTGCAGAGTAGCCAATCGAACAAACTATACGAGTTGTGCAAACAAACAGGCAGCACTTGTGATGCAACACTGCGCCATCTTGCCCTCTGACGCATGTACAATTGTGCTATGATTCTTTTTGATGGAGAAATTATTTTCCGTGCAAAAACCGTTTAGTAGCCCTTAATTTTGTTTTCTATAAATTACTATATTTGATTTTAAGTCGTAAGTTTGAAAGGAATAAAAGAAATTTCTAATTTAATTTGTCCTGAACCATTCACAATAATAAAACTGATCTAAAATATTAAAAACATTGAACATTGAAAAACATTGATATCATTGAAGATATTTAATGAAATATCCGCATACTCTCTTGTGCTACGAATAACTCGATAAGTTTGTAACGTTTTAAAGAAAATCATCTTCTTCTTCTGAAACTTCGGAAATTTGATCATGCAAGATCTTTACAACGATATAGCAATCTTCCCACCATTGTCAGTAGTACATTTGATCTTGTAGTTTCCAAAATAGGCCTCCACTTCGACGGTTTCTTTCCAACAGTAATTTTCTTGATTTCTGAGAACAGAAAATATAAACATATGGATATTCTTGATGGTTACAGTCAGCGTCTTTCGATCACCGAGTACTCGCTTCGATGCTCATTTTCCTGTACGAATTTAGCAGACAACCTACGAATGGTTGCTCTGCTTAGCGCAGAGTTCGAATCATACCGTTAATCCATAGCAACTGAAAATAGTTCCAGTTCAGACAACATACTTATATATAATAAGATCCTACATTTTTATGTGCTTAAGTGTGTGTATTTATATTCGTCAATGTCTCATATTTCTTATAAAATATAAAATTTCATTTGGAAGTTGTGGACAAAGCAAATTGTTTCTTTGTAGAAAACATATATATTATATGTAGAAAAATATCAAATTTGATTGGCATCACAATTAGAAGTGGCTGTTGAGAATCGTGTTTGAAGTGCTGCTCATGTTGCTGATGTTAAGTCTATTGTTTTAGGTGCCAGTGGCAGCAACGTCTGCCGCCCTCATTGCAAGTATGTATGTATGTACGAGTGCAAACTTCCTTTACTACAAAACGCTCCGTATATGGTCAGCTAAGCACGCAAAATACCAATTAAGTCTGCTTTATATGTGCATAAGTTTGTATAAAATATTCTTGATATATTAAAGTTTACATATGAACATGTGTTTTTGCGAGATTTATATACATACACTAATGTAAAAATAAAAAAAAATATTTTATTTTTCCCCCTTAAAGCTGCTGCTAATATTGCATACTTTATACTCGAAGGTAATTTAGCACAAAGATCTTCATACGAATACGAATTTAGTAAATTGACATTTGAACAGAGATCGACAAACGAGTGTGATCGGCGTCCAAAGGTATTGGAATAACGAAGTTAATGGAATGCGCCTGATGACTATTCGGCTTGTTTTTGTAGCTGGAGATAGAAAAATAATTGACAAGAAAATATCTTATCGAATACTTGCCTTTGCTTGCTATAAGTATATCAGAAAATTTTGATAAAGAAAACAACGCGAAAAAGGGACTTGGTGTGTGGGATCAAAGGGATTTCTTGCTGTCATGCAGCTTCTCAGCGAACTGTACTTACGTCTACGGGTACGGGAATACTCGTATACTCGTATAACCTAACCTTACATATAATGTATGAGTGCCCACGGAAATAATTCTGTTGTTCTAAAGAGGATGACAATCGTCGGACATTAGTCATACTATTCAATGTATATATAAGTGATCAGCGTGATCTGTTCTGTATATATGCGAACTAGTCCTACAGTATTTGAAATATCAATCTGAAATTTTGACCACATCCTTTTCTCAACAAGGAACTGCTCATTTGTCGGAAACGCCGTTATCGGACCATTATAGCGTATAGCTGCCACACAACTGAGCAGTCAAACTCAAGTCCTTGTACGGAAAACTATTTTATTTGTCAAGGTATTCTCACGAAATTTGGTACAGATTATTATCTAATGCAACGCTACAATACTCAAACAACAATTTGCCATAATGCATTTACTAAATATTTATTACACAGTAATCCCGAGTATTAAATATTTAATTCAGAAAAGATCTGATAGGGTTTTTCTATTACGCACAACAATAACCATGTTTGTGCTTTTAGCATATTAATATACATAGAAATTGCATCCTGCCGAACATAAAATTATTGCAGTTTTCATTTACTCACATTTATTTACAACACAATTATTTTCCAACTATTGCAAGAGCACAAGTAAAATGGATTCTTGATAATGATTACACATACAATATTATATATGTACCAATGTTGGAGTGCCTGTAATATAATATTTACGCACACATGCATTTATTTAATAACACGCGATATGGCAATGTGAACGCTGGAATAAGAGGACATTAAAGAAGATATGAATATGAATTTCTTATTGCATTAATGCAATCATTACATGCGCCCACAACTACATATGCATATATTGTTTTCATAAGTCTTCAGGCATGAGCACTTTAGTGGGCGTATACGAGAGAGAAAATATATTTGCGAGAGAAAATGTCTTTTTGTGGCTTATCATTATAATAATACCAATATTATCTTAAGTTTGAGTTTCTGTGGTCTTAGCTACTACATTTCAAATATAATGCACAATTAAAATTGTAAATTTTTTAGAAGATCAGAAGGTACTGTAGGAATTCTAAATTACCACAGCATGAACTTTGAAGAACGAACCCGAATCCCAAAATGAAGATATTGCAAAATATATTCCTTTATGAGAGAAAATGCGCTCACTAATAGTTTCCTTCAATAAATTGATTGCTAAGTTGGCTGTATGGCACGTAACGCCGTCTTGTTAGAACCAAAGGTCATCCACATAACCTCTAATACTCTTATACAGGCACAAAAAAGTAATTAATCATGGCTCTATAGCCTCCCCCATTGACTGTAACATAATGTCGTCGTTATATTAGAAGAAATATGGACGAATGATTCCCTCTACTCATAGAGCACACCAAAAAGTGGCTTGTGCATAATCATCACTCCAAGGGCGACAATTTTGTTTATTAACGCACACAAAGTTAAAAATAAGTTTCATCGCCGTACAAAATTTTCATATGAAAATCGATATCGGTGGCCATTACGTTTTTGACCCATTCACCGAAAGTAAATATGACGCGCTTGATGGTCGTTCCGCTTCAATTCTTGCACGAGTTAAATTTCGTAAGAGCGCAAAGCAAGATCCTTCGACAAAATCATTCATAAAGTGGATGGGAACAGCTCCATTTATTGCGCACAATTTTGGATAAACTCATTCAGGTCCTATTCGATACTCTGGTCCACAGAAGGAATAATGTCTTCGTTGCGCACTGTATGGTGTATTTGAGGATGCGCATCATCTACTCGAATTACCGACTCTGTTGGGCGATTAGGTCGACCGAATATTGGACGCAGCGCGAGATGCGCCACTAGAACCGAACCATTATTTTGGTAATAAATTTGCACAATTTGCAAACGTTGTTTCGCAGTTAGTCAGTTTATTATGAAATGACAAACTAAACTGAGTATAAATAATAGATGTCAAATAGAACAAATTCGAAAAATTAGTGTCTCATTGAAAACCACAAGTCTGAAAAAACACCCTTTATATGTTAAATTATTTGGTTAAGGATCTTTGATATTTATGTAAGCGACTCATTGCGAGCAAAGCAGCGGGTCAAGCTAATATATTTAAATATTTCTTTAATTCTTTTCTTATATTTTGCAGATTCAAAAAATAAGACTCTTATTTCTGTGCAATGAACACTTCCACAAACACGCACCACGCCGAGGTACTGGAACAGTGAAGGCTGAAGTCATATAACGCACTCGCACTGCTTTAGAATGAAATGGATGTGCAACAAATTTTTGGTTACGGACGACGAAGAACCTTACAAACAACTACAACAACAAATACGACTATCACACAAACATATAGCTGTCGACTTGCAAATGCGCCACGGACGCAACTCTGGGAAGCTGACATCTGGTGTCGGCCACAAGCAAATCTCAACGATAGCAACGTGGGCGATGGCAGCGCTAGAACAACACCGAATGTGTATACAACATATGCAACAGATGCGACCGCAAATGAAGCTAACAATACAGAGCCAACAACAGCAGCGGCATCAACGCTTACCCAGCCATACCGCTGTGTACTTGAACAATTCGATGCGACATTACAGAGAGCGCGCTACAAATGTCAACCAATCACGAGATACTCTGCGACAGCGGCAACGGAGGTGGTGGAGAACAACCTTGGTGAAGGATTTGCGGCGACAATGGTCGAGGAGCCAGAGGCTGCTGATGTCGGCATGGACGATGTCAATTGCGTAATGAATACTGAAGTGATAGTGCAACAGTTGCGGCAACCAGTGGTCAATTTTAATTTGGCACTAGCGAAGCAACAACCATTACAGGGTGATCATATTAGTCATTTAGTTGATAGTATTAATATTAGTGACACAGCAAATGCACAATGCAAAGTAGTACAAAGGCAGTTGCTATACTGTGATGAGTCGTCTGTGGCGGCGAATGGCATACTGGATAATGATATACGATTAGCGCACACAGATGTCGCCATGGCGCCAACCACAGATAATGCAAATTTTGTTGCAAATAGCGGCAGTAATGCTTCTATAGTAGATGATTTCATTTGTTACCTGCGCATACAATACGAAGACCTAACAGCACGGCTCACGCCGTCACCCGCCAACCAAGCAACGTCAACCACCGCTACATTAGATGATTTGTTGCAACACAATTTGACTGATACCTTAAACGACAGCGTTGAAATCGGTCGGAATCGGCTGAGTAACGCTTGGCAGCATTTTCTTAACAGCAGCCACAGTAGATGGAATACCAGCGATTTGTTGCCACAACTCGGCGCAGAGTTGGTGAATTCAACAGCTGTGCAAGCTAACTATAGTTGGCTGGCGGGCGCTTATGATGATGCGCTCTGGTCATGGAATGTCTTTGATGAGCTCAGCAATGACAACGAGTCTGCGTCGGATAGTGTTATCAGCAGCAGCAGCATCCACAATGGCAGCAATTCACTAGCATCGCTGTGGGGTCCACGTAATCTCAGCAACGACTATTCGTTGGGCAATAAGTTAGCGCGGCAACATGATTACGAGTGGATATTTCTTTGTGTCATATTCTTCATATTTGCCGGTGGTCTTGGCAATATTCTAGTCTGTTTGGCTGTGGCACGCGATAAAAAATTACAAAACGTCACCAATTACTTCCTCTTCTCGCTGGCGATAGCCGATTTGCTGGTCAGTCTGTTTGTGATGCCGCTGGGTGCGATACCGGCGTTTTTGGGTAAGTGCTTTTAGCATAACATTTTAATATATGTTTGCTGCGTTGCAAGATATTTCAAAAACTGCCTGAGTTATATAATATAAAATCGATGCCAGTACTACCTGAAGTCAGACGTTCCTAATCACAAAGCAGCAATACGAACTCGTCATTTTCTACAAATATGTAACGGATCCGTTTTTCTATAAAATTTTCCAAGAGTTTTGCTTATAATCAATTTGATAACAGACTTTTCTAACAGTCACTTCTTCTAAAAATTTATTCTATAGGTTCTTATGTGAAAGATTAGTAAGCCTTTTTCGTTGGTACTTCAATTTCTTCAACCATATTATCTTTATCAACTCCTTGCAACTCAGCCGTCCTTAGTCTTCCGCAGTGTCATTCGGCTGACACCAAAGTTTAATTATGCTCTAGACATCGGTTAAAAGCTCTAATCTTTACAGAAATTAGCCAGGTTTCGAAACTAGACCAAAGTTACCGAAAGTTTTTCAATAATGCGCATTTCTGCTGTTACCAGTCGCATTCAATTCTAATCTGTTATCCAGCGTTTCGTCATGTAGACTAAATTGTCCGACAATGGGATCAATATTCCATGACAGGAAAGCACAATAACCACAATTACTAAAATTGCCGAGCACGCTTTTTCTAACGTCACGGATTTAGCACAAACTGTCCTATTCTTTCTAAGTCAGTTAAAACATTCGATACATCTACTTGGCTTTACCTTGAACAGGGTACCTTAAGGTTACCACGATGTTTGTAACAGCCCACGTCGGAGGCCCTATAAAGTTCATATATAAATGATCAGCGTGATGAGCTGAGTCGATTTAGCCATGTCCGTCAGTATCTCCATCTGTCTGTCTATATACACCCGTACTAATCCCTCAGTTTTTAAGATATCGGTATGAAATTTTGCCCACGTTCTATTCTCAACAAGAAGCTGCTCATTTGTCGGAACTGCCGAAATCAGACAACTATAGCATATAGCTGCCATATATATATATATATTCACGAAATTCAGCATAAATTATTATTAAAAGCATTGCTATAATCTCCGAAGAAATAGTTCAGATCGGATCCCTTTAGTATATAGCTGCTAATCAAACTGACACCTCAACCTCAAATCCTTGTACGGAATATTCATTTATTTGTCAAGGCCTCTTCTCGAAATTTGGTACAGATTATTATCCAAGGCATATCTACAACCTCCGAAGGAATTGGATCAGATCGAACTATTATAGCATATACGCGTATTTTAAGAACCAAAAACCAAAATTACTTAAAATCTATTTATGCTGCTTTCCCTGGCAACCGCTGGTTTCGTACTTTGGCTAATAATACCTTTTGTTCATACAAATCTTTAACGAACAGTTTATCTTTTATTTATTTTACTATAATCAATAGGCTTAAAAGCAAAACAAGACAATGAATGTGGGAAAATAAGAAATGTTTAGGGGCAACACAGCAAAGTAGCTAATGAGGCGCACGTTTTTTTTTTTTTTTGGCCTCCTGCAAGTTTATATATCTGGGCAATAAAGTGTTTTGCTTACTCAAGTATTCCCAGTAAAAGTTTATCTAAAGCACAACAAGCAATGTGATTTTGCATTGAATTGATTGGGTCAAAGTTTACATATATTTAAAAGCAATTTAACCTTAATTTTATTTGGAAAGACATATACACACACCGTAAGCTAAGGACATAAGAAACAACGACAAATACATTACAAAAAAAAAACACTCGAGATATCCTTAATGCATTGGCAGACAAAACTGTTTTTCTTAAATTTTCATTACAAAAAAAAGTAACTTAGCATTATTTTGTAGTAGAAGATTACTTTGTATTCTAAATATTAAGGTTTGCAGGTGAGATAGATGTGATAAGAAATATAGAAATAAATTTATAGATTAAGTCAAGATTTTTGACGGCGCCATAGACTTTACACAAGCAGGCTGTTTGGGCTCCATATTGTATATTGATAATTACAAATATATTTAAGTAGTTGAAAGGAACCTTCACTCAACCTTTCGCTTCATTCAAACTGTTCGCAGTCCTATAATTCGACTTAGGTTATGCTCTGAAGCATTACTGCCCGAATGCAAGTGTGATCAAAAGAAACATGACCGATCTTCAATTAACTTCAGTTTTTTAATTAGTAGACATAAAGCTGGAACATCAATATGCCTCGAAACTTTGCTTCCTTTAAAAAGCCGGTAAGCCCTTTTTCAGCCAAGGGCTATATCAAAAGAAACCCTTGCGTTCTTTAATTATAGATTTTTTGAATTCGCGAACAAACAGCTGAAACATCAATACACCTCGGAACTTTGCATTCATTGAAAACGCGAACGAAACCAAATAACGTTGGTACCTCAGAAATTGTAAGTCAAAGCTGTCAAACATTTCTGAGTGTCGTAAAAGTACGTGGAGAGTACATAGCGCCATCTAACCAACACAGCAGTACAAGAGAAGACAAAATCATTCAAATCAACTGACAAAAATTTATTAGCTATACCGACGTTGCAGAAATTATATCTGTAGACGAATTTCTTAACATGTTCATAGAACTATACTACCCTTGTCATCGCTTGAGTTCTGGTAAAACCTCATTTCAATCAAGGCAAATACCCAAAATTTATTTTTTTAGCTCAATCATCAAAATCTCTAACATTCCCCGCCACTTCTTCATTCTACTAATATTTCAGAAACTTACGTAATATTCCTCCATAATTTCACAAACTTAAAGGAGCTCAACTTAAAGCTAGGTCTATGCAGACTTAATATGATCCATCACTTATCTCTATTCGTCCAAGCCACTGCAATCAAGATAAAAATGTTAGAATGTCAACTACTGAGTTTTTAGCGGTGAAACATCGGAACCCAAAATGGTCTAAGCTAACTAAACACTGGTAAGCTTTATCAGTTTGAACATATCTCACAAATATTCCTACTCTGCCTCAAAGCAGTAACAACGACGCCTACGGCAACTCCCATACATAATCCAACCCGTAACTCTTCATACAAATTACTTTACATCATGAAAATGGTATGCTCGTATAACTACCTTTAGAAGCATGGCTCTGCTTGGTTGTAATGGCAACACCACCCTAACGAAAACCCACCAATTCTGAATGAGAGAGATAGCGAAGTGACACGTATGTTAAAGAACCTGTTGAAGGATACATAATACAAGCACAAGTATGTAGGTATAAGGGACGCGTATAACGTCCGTCATCGCGAATTTCTGTCAGTGGTAAACGCCACATGTATATACGAAAGAAAGGATTTAAGTACCTTCAACAGTATGACAAACAGCAATTTACGCAGTAGCTGTTTTTGAGATAAATATAGTAAATATTTTCCGTTTGAGGATCTGGGAAGCTCCTATTAACTAGTTATATCATAGCAAAATATTGCTAAAATGCAAAATACACTTTATCAAAGATCACTGGCTTATCAAACAAGCCTCGTTTATGTGAAAATCGAATGAAAACGCGCTGTAGCGTATCAATAAAAAATTTATATAACCACTTACTCAATCGCTATTGGCATTGAAAAATGATATTCATATAATTATTTGTACTGTGTTTATTCTAAAGATGATTTTTGCAAACACACAGTACTGTTACCTCAGCAGCCTAGTGCAGTAATATTATCGCAATTCTAGAAGAGTAAGCATATGGTACAATATATGCCATTTTATTGGCGGTTGGCCAAATAAAATAGTCAAAATTTGCGCTATTCGGTTGTTGTTTGCTTACAATTGTGTGCGTACAAAATGTAGACGCTTGTAATAACCAATATATTTTAGAACCGTATTACACAAAAGCAATCATTCACTAGAATTTTTATATTTTTCACACAAGTGTAAGAAGAGACGTGTTCGTATATGCAATCATGTTGAAGCGGTTATAAAAGTATAGTGAACACATCGACCGGAAATAAAATATAGTCTGGACTGTAGGCTTGGCTGCGTACTCTGTACCCGTTTTGTACATTTGCTGCCTTCCATGGTTTGTTTGCATGCAATTTGCACAGAGAGGAGCACATGCTTTGGTCGTGTAAGCGCATCCGATGATATTGTTGGTAGTTATTTGCTGGTAGTTATTTGCTTCTATCTTTATTTATATAGTACTCGTACATATAATATATAAGAAATTTTGCCAAATTGAATTCTAAGAACTAAACTTGATTTGCAAAACAAATGCCTGCAGTATGCTGTGTTGGCTAGCATATCTGGTCCATCGAAATAAAATCATATAAAATGTAATCCAAATCAAATTCGACAATAAAAATTCAATTACAATTCGATTCGCCACAGGAAACCATCGAACAATTGCAATAGCAAATAAATATTTTCCTTTGCATGAAGACGTGTGCCAAAAAGGAAAATACAAATTGAAAAGCAAAATTCAAAATAAATGTACTGATAAAATGCATTTAAAAAAAAAATTTCACAATTAATTGAATTGATTTCGGAATATTTTTTTAATGAAAACTGCACCGAAAGTATAATACCCTTCACAAATAAACAATACATACAATTCCATACAAGAATTTGATTTCGATCGTTCAGTTATTATGGCAGCTATTTGCTATAGTGGTCCGACAGATGAGCAGCTTCTCGGAGAGAAAAGGACGTATTCAAAATTTCAGAGTGATATCTCAAAAACTTAGTTACTAGATAGCGTATACACAGATAGATGGCTATGGCTAAATCAAATAAGCTCGTCACGCTAATCGACGTTTCCTCCTGAGTGTTAAAAACTTCGTGGCAAACTACGTAGATTGGATATTGTATTTCGGTATTTGACAACCCTGATGTTGCAATCTGACAACTCACAACTTTATCGTAATGTTTGACATTTTTGATATTATTAGGCCGTCCAAAAAACGTTGTTGTTCCGAAAACTATTGACACTGTGCGCCAACTGATATTGCAACTGAAAACAAGGCTCGTGTTGATTGGTCGAGACAAATGTGAAAAAAAAACTAGAGCAAGATGAGC